CTTAAGTGGTAAATAAAGCAAGTCTCTCATATAATATATCTACTAAAAGACAGAAAATATTACGTGGTAAACTGTATTGTAAATAAATCAAATGAACCTTTCAAATTTGTTAATAATATTACTGAAATTAATTTAAAAACTGAATAAATATAAATGTACACACATTTACACAACAACATAAATAGACTCAATGATGGGCTAAAAATCTACGGATTTCTGCACGCGCAGATTCTGGTGGGCCTGCTGCTCATGACTAGGGCCAAACAAAATCTGAGGACATTTTTGCTATTTCTGCGCAGAATTTTGTAATATAATATGTGGACTGATTTTGGGAGTACTGTAACTAAAAATTAGAATAAAAAAAATAATATGTGAATATAAATTTTAACTTTTATTCAATGTTAATGTTAATGTTCAATGTGGAATTAGATCCACATATTTTGTCAACAAAGTATGTCTTATATAATGTCTAACAAAAGACAGACAGTTTACAAACTAGTCAACAATATTACTGAAACAAATAAAAAAATGGAATAAATATAAATGTACACTCATTTACACGTAAATAAATGTCCCCCAGTGGAAGGTACGATCATATATATATATATATATATATATATATATATATATATATATATATATATATATATATATATATATATATATATATATATATATATATATATATATATATATATATATATATATATATATATATATATATATATATATATATATATATATATATAATATATATATATATATATATATATATATATATATATATGTATGTGTATATATATATATATATATATATATATATATATATATATATATAAATATATTAAAATATATTAAATATATAATTTTTATTTAATATATTTATATATATTTAAATATAATAAATATATTAAATATATATTTAATATATATGTTTATTCTTTTAATTTTTATTTTCTTGATTCGTTCATCTATGTTTATGTAAAGCCCTTTGAATTACCATTGATTTGCCTTGCCTAGCATAATTAATGTTTTTTTTTTTGTTTTTTTGTAATAATATTAATATTATGACTTATTTTTATCTGTACTACTATGTACAGTCATTTGTTTTATATGTTCTTTTAATGTAAACAATACACATTTTTGAAAATACATTTGTAACATTTATCAAACCAATAATTCAAGTTTGATTTGGATTGAGTTGAGAGAGAGAGTTGATTGTTAAATATACAGCTTTATTATTGTTGTAGAATTATTATTTTACAGTATTATTATCTCTACTACGATATGATTTGTTTTCATATGTTCTTTTTAATGTAAATAATTAAACTGATTTGCCAATACATTTGCAATATTTGTCATACCAATAAAACAAGTTTGAATAAAATTAAATTGAGAGAGATGTTGATCATTAAATATACAGTTTAAATGATTTATTATTATAGTATAATTAAAGACAATTTTTAATAATATTTTTATGACTTGTTTTCATTTGTACTACTGTGTACAGTGATTTGTTTTCATATGTTCTTTTAATGTAAACAATACAAATGCTTTGACATTACATTTGTCATACCAATAATGCAAGTTTGGAATGAATTGAAATAAACTGAATTTTATTAAGAGAGAGAAAGGAGTTTATGATGTACAGTGGGAGAGTCACACACCTGTAGTGAACGATGTTGTCATGGATGAGTACACGAGGTCCTGTGGATGCAGACTGGGTGTTGCCACAGATACCACAGGTGTGCTCAATGATTGGCTGGACTGAGAGCTGTCTGTTCTCTAAGGATTACAGAAACAGAAGAGTGTGAAAACAACAAGCTTGATTGGTGTGGAGATACACTAGCAGTCAATAGCAATAAAAGGTTTTGAACAGTGAGATCTTGGACATTTTTCTGCTCAGCAAGTCACCATTTATTGTATCCAAAGTAGACCCATCAGAAATCATTCTAACAATATGCTAATAATTTATATATATATATATATATATATATATATATATATATATATATATAATTATTATTATTATTATTATTATTATTATTATTAGGGGTGGCATATTTTTTATGTTATTCTATATAAAATATATTCTATATATTCTATACTATTTTCTGGGGGCGCCACTGCCATTTGTGTTTTGTCTTTTCTTGTTAAATGGCCAAATTCTTTCAATTGCAAGTACAAAAGCGTCTGCTAAATGTCTACCGTAAATGTCGATGCAAGTTTAGGCTTTGGCTGTAATGTGTCAATGAACCACTAGATGGCAGCATGTACCTTTAACATTAGGCAGCAAAGCTAATAATCTCGCATCTTTTAAGACCAAATTAACGAGTCACTTTTGCAAAGCATTTCCGAATGAAGCATTATAAAACACCTCTTACCAAATGCTCATCTCCTTCCTCAGGCGGCTTGCAGAAGAAAGATATCAGTAAGGTCAATATTCACTCATTGTCTAATGATTTCAGGATGTTTTTGTGAGGCTAATGGCGGACAAAACAAACTTTCTCACCATTGAAGAAGAGCTGCTTTTGCAGACAGGAGGAATGAGGACTCGCAGGTCAAGTTTGCGGTTCGCTGTGGACGATTTAGCAGAGACCACTTGTCCAATACTGTTTTCTTCAGAATTGCCGGAAAAGCCATTGACTAAAGGAGACAGTTAAACAGAGATTATTACAAGTTTGACTGAGCTGTAGCAGTTTTCTTTATATAAAAATACAGCCATGAAACAGCATTACACCTTTATACATAAATTGCAACACAATTTTCCTATATATTTGAAGATATAGTCTAATAAATACACAAGCCTAATAATTATTTCCTAAGTGCTTTCAAAGGATTGTCCTGTGATTTCTATGATTTATTTTCTTCTGTAGAAAGTCTTTTATACTTAAAGATACAATTTAAAATCGAAATAATACAATTCAATTATAATAAAACTTGTAAGGTCAATATTATTAGCCCCCTTAAGATTGTTTTCCTATTGTTTTCCTATTTGCCTAATTATCCTAGTAGGTAGTTAAGCCTTTAAATGTCACTTTAAGCTGTATAGAAGTGTCGTTTCATATTATCTTATCATGGCAAAAATAAAAGAAATCAGTTATTAGAAATTAGTTATTAACACTATTATGTTTAGAAATATGTTTCTTTCTTAAATTGCTTTTTATTGCTTGCGAAATATTTGAAAACAAATTATAATTTCACATTGTACAGTATATTAAAATACAAAAAAATACTTATTTTAAAGTGTAATAATTAAGTTAAGTTAAATAAAACTAATTTATTATTGTGATGACTGAATTTCTAAATATGCTGGCTCTTTTTTAAATACGCTAAGATAAAACATCAAGATGGGACCAGTTTGAGACGGCAGAAAAATAAAATAAATATGTAAAATACTTTAAATATATTTTATAAATATATAGTTTAATATTTTATGTTGTTTTAAAACAAGTAGAATTAAACAAATCTATAAAGACACATTTTAAAATTGGCTAAATAAAATAAAAATGGAAATAAAAATGACAAAAAAAAAAAAGAAATCAAAAAATGAAAATGAAAAATCTAAAAAATAATAACCAACTACAGTAAATATACTACTAATAACTAATAGTATGTCAGTTAGACTAAAATAACACTAGAAGGGACATCAAGAAAACTACACTACCTGACAAAAGTCTTGTTGCCTATCCAAGTTACAGGAACAACAAATAATAACTTGAACTCTAGTTGATCATTTGTTATCGGAAGTGACTCATATGAAAGGCAAAGGCCTCTAGATTACGCTTATTTTGCCAAAAAAAATATGATCATGCCTTGAATTTTTCATTATTTAATTAGGACAGTAAGGTCTGACTTTGCTTAGACAAAAGTCTTGTAACTTAACAGAAATAATGTACAGAATATAAAGTCATGGTGCATGATGCATGGTGAATTAATATTGTGTATGACTCCCATGAACTTAGAGGACTGCATCCATACATCTCTGCAATGACTCAAATAACTTTTTAATAAAGTCATCTGGAATGTCAAAGAAGGCATTCTTGCAGGACTCCCAGACTTCATCAAAATTCTTTGACATCATCGTGAATGCCTCCTCCTTCATTTTACCCCAGACATGCTCAATAATGTTCATACCTGGTGACTGGGCTGGCCAATCCTGGAGCACCTTGAACTTCTTTGCTTTCAAGAGCTTTGATGTGGAGGCTGAAGTATGAGAAAGAGCGCTATCCTGCTGGAGAATTAGCCCTCTCCTGTGGTTTGTAATGTAATGGGCGGCAGAAATGTCTTGATACCTCAGGCTGTTGATGTTGCCATCCACTCTGCAGATCTCTTGCACACCCCCATACTGAATGTAATCCCAAACCATGATTTTAACTTGACCAAACTTGACTAATTTCTGTCAGATTCTTGGGTTTATGTGGGTTCCAACAGGTCTTCTGCAGTATTTGTGATGATTGGGACAGATGATTCATCTAAAAAAAATCTTCTGCCACTTTTTTAAATGATCAACTAGAAGTTATTTGTTGCTCTTACAACTGGAATCAACGACAAGACTATTGTCAGGTAGTGTTTTTATTTATTATAGTTATTTTAATTATTAACAGACACATCTAAATAATTTTTACAGCAATTAACAGCAAATATGCAGCTTCACTTGTCGTTAACCTCCAGTAATTCAGTAACACAAACAAGTGCCCTTACAAGCTTCTAGTGGATAAGGAGATCAGTTTATCCTAAACACATGAGGTCATGACCTCCCTTCCTGCCCACACCAATCAACATCAAGATTAACACACACCAACACACACACACACACACACACACACACACACACACACACACACACACACACACACACACACACACACATTACTTACTATGTTTTAAGGAGTTCCCATAGACATAATAATTTTTACTTTACGGACTTTACAGTTTATTTTACCCCTAGCCCAACCCTACTTCTAAACCCAACACTAACAGGACACAATCAACATTCTTACATTTCCAAAATACTACATTCTGTGTGATTTATGAGGCCCTTTCCTTATAAAAACCAAAATGATGTCCTCAGAATGTCAAAATATACTGGCATTGCTATTCGTGGTCCACACATGAGAAATACAAGGTACACACACAAACTTGAATGCAAGCACGCACACACACACACACACACACACACACACACACACACACACACACACACGCACACACACACACACACACACACACACACACACACACACACACACACACAGTCATATAAACACAGCATCTCTGACTTCATCTCTCTGTTACCTCAAAGCCATTATGAGCAGCCCTCATGTATTAAAATCTGAAGTTTTCATGTGTACAGTAAATCTGTCTAATATACAGACGCATCCAGCTCTCAAGGAACATTCGCCTGATTTGCTTGTGGTGTGTAATCTTATCTCTCAAGCAACTAGAATTATGCAGCAACCATTAAAGTAAATCACGTTTTTTACCGTGTGTTGCTTAAACAAACTGGCACCTGAGTGGAACTCTATCATAACAGTCAGACACACTGTGTACTGTAATGTACCACATCAAGGGAGTACATACCCACATGACTGGAGTGAACTCCGTTTGGAAGTGTGACCTCTGAGGAAGCTGGCATACCATCTGAACAGATGAACATTTATATTAGCAAGAGTTTAATTTGACTGTTTATGGTTATTTAAAGCTTTGGCAAAGAAAAAACCTTTAAAGAGTTGAGCTCAGTAGCATTTTATTTGAGGAACTACTCATAAGTGATAGATTTCCGGGTATTTCTGCAGCGAAAGTTGTCATAGTTGAAGCTCAGTGAACGGGAGAGAATCACAAATATATTTTTTGTATTTGTGGTGAGGGGGCGTGGCCGAGAGCCGTGGGAACGGAGTGAGGCCACCGCGTGAGTGGATACACCTGCGGTACGCACCTGCCTCGAATCCCACGGAAGGAGCTCTGGACAATAAAAGGAGGAACGATAGCAGAGGAAGCCGAGAGAGGACTGGGCCCGGGCATTTTACTTTTGCTTTCAGTTTGATGGCAGTCTCCGTGAGGAGCTGCCGTCCGTTTGTTTTGGTTTAGATGGCAGCCTCCGTGAGGAGCTGCCGTCACTGTTATTAATAAATCATTTAAAAACTGTGTCGGTTCTCCGCCTCCTTCTTCCCGGCGGCCAAAGGGCCGTGAACTTCATTACAGTATTACTATTTGCTTAAATAATAAAAGAAATCGTGTTTTCACGGCTTTCAAAAAAGGACAAACAATTGTGTGAGACTGATAACGGCTGACAGAAGAGAGAGCATCAAATGTACTGTCCCATAGTTGCGGCATTAGAAACACCTCTCATAAGGGGTAATTGGTTTTATTGCAGGTATTGGCCTTATTCTCCGCAGACGAGTGGGCGCTGCCATTTGAATCTTTTTGGCACAAGACTTCCGGTCTCATTCACTTCCATTCATTTTTAGACATTAAAAACTGCTCGTTTCGCTGTTTGATGTTGCAAACTGATATTTCCTTGTTATATTATTCTACTTGGTCTGTATAGTCATGCAAACATTTGTTTGTAGAGCAAGTAGTTTGACCGTTTTTTGCCGTTTATTATTCCTTGTCATTTCTCCCATAGGCCACTGAAACGGAAGTTCTAAGACAATCGCAAAAACAGGCGCACTTCCGCATTTTAGAATAAGGTCAATACCTCGATCCTCTGACCTCAAAAGGTGCTCTAGGGACAGACGCTACAGGCCATGGTATTTAGCCTCCTTGTTAGAGCAACCGACCCCCATGCAATGAATTGTCAGTTGGATCCCAGCTCAGACCAGGTTGGGTAAAATAGGACCAGTAAGTTACACAAGGGGGCTCGTCCGGGATGGGAGAGAGGTTTAGGGGGGTGAGTGTAACGGAGGCTAGCTAGTAAAGTGCTATGCAGGTAAACCTTACACCTTTGACCTCTGAAGCTGCTCTAGTGAAGGGCGCTAAAGGCCATGGTCTATAGCCTCCTTGTTAGAGCAAAAGACTCCTATGCAAAGAACCGGCGATTTGATCCCAGCTCAGATGAGGTTGTGTGTGTGATAGGACCGGTAGGTTACACATAGGAGCTCATCCGGGAAGGGAGTGAGGTTTAGGGGTGTGAGTGTAACGGAGGTTAGCTAGCAAAGTGCTATGCAGGTAAACCTCACTCCTATGATCTCTAAAGGTGCTTTAGCAACAGACGCAGGAGGCCATGGTCTTTACCCTGCTTGGTAGAGCAACCGACTCCCATGCAAAGAATTGCCAGTTCGATCCCAGCTCAGACCAGGTTGGTTGCGACTGGTAGGTTACACGTGGGGACTCGTCCGGGATGGGAGTGAGGTTTAGGGGGGTGAGTGTAACAGAGATCAGCAGGTGAAGTGCTATGCAGGTAAACCTCACTCGTCTGACCTCTAAAGGTGCTCTAGCGACAGATGCTAGAGGCCATGGTCTTTAGCCTCTTTGTTAGAGCAACTGACTCCCATGCAAATAATCACTGATTTGATCCCAGCTCAGACCAGGCTGAGTGCAATAGGACCGGTAGGTTACATGAGAATAGCTTAAAAATATACAAACATTTTTTTTAAACCAAGATATTAAAAAGTTTTAAAGAAGGTTCTTGTGAAAAGGGTCCATGGGTTTTTAAATATCAAAATTCAAAAATCTTTTCAGATCTTAATCATAAAACATTTATAAATAGGACTGAAAAAAAAAAGGTTTTACCATAAACTGTTTCTTCTCCTCAGAGTTTTAGTTCTAAATTGTTTTATTTCAAAATGTGTGAGACGGATTCATTTACATTTACATTTACATTTACATTTAGTCATTTAGCAGACGCTTTTATCCAAAGCGACTTACAAATGAGGACAAGGAAGCAATTTACACAACTATAAGAGCAACAATGAATAAGTACTAAAGGCAAGTTTCAGGTCTGTAAAGTCTAAGAAGGGAAGTATTAGTAGTATTAGTTTTTTTTTGGTACAGTTACTGTGATATTCAAAGAGGCAATTGCAGATTAGAAAGTGAAGTGGAGACTAAATAGTTGAGTTTTTAGTCGTTTCTTGAAAATAGCGAGTGACTCTGCTGTTCTGATGCAGTTAGGGAGTTCATTCCACCAACTGGGCAGATTGAGCGTGAGCGTTCGCGAAAGTGATTTTTTCCCTCTTTGGGATGGAACCACGAGGCGACGTTCATTCACAGAACGCAAGTTTCTGGAGGGCACATAGATCTGCAGAAGTGAGTGCAGATAAGAAGGTGCTAGGCCAGAAGTCACTTTGTAGGCAAACATCAGAGTTTTGAATTTGATGCGAGCAGCAACTGGCAGCCAGTGCAAACGGACTAGCAGCGGAGTGACATGTGCTCGTTTAGGTTCATTGAAGTCAACTCGTGCTGCTACATTCTGGAGCAGTTGAAGAGGCTTGATAGAGTTAGCTGGAAGCCCAGCTAGTAGAGAGTTGCAGTAATCCAGTTTGGAGAGAACAAGAGCTTGAACAAGGAGTTGAGCTGCATGTTCAGATAAGAAGGGTCGGATCTTTCTGATGTTATAGAGTGCAAATCTGCACGATCGAGCAGTTCTAGAAATGTGGTCAGAGAAGTTCAGTTGGTCATCAATCGTTACTCCAAGGCTTTTCACCATTTTGGATGCAGTAATGGTTGCCCCGTCCATCTGGATTGAAAAGTTATGGTGTAGAGTCGGGTTGGCAGAAACTACAAGCATTTCATTTACATTTACATACAGTCACTAGTCATTTACAGTCAACTGCCCTTTAACAGATATCTAATTAGCCAAACACATGGCATAAACTCAATCCATTTAGAGATGTGGTGTGCGTTCCAAATGGGATATATGACATTCCGGTGTGCACTTTGGAAGGAAAAAACTATTAGGGTTGCCATATTGATGTTTTGTTCCAAACCAAAGTGTCCAAAACTGTCCAGGATTTCAAAGGGTTCAACTGATCGGGCCCCCATAATCCTATGTGCAGGGAAGTGTGTTGCACACTGCGTTCTGTTCAGAAGGGCTCATCCCTAAATGGTTGTACAGTTCCTTGTTGTTTGTGTATTTTTAGTTCTGAGAGCAACTCTTGCTGACATGGCAAAACAATAACATTTAATTTAACATTAAATTTTGCAATTCGACAGAATATTAGGGCTAAAAAAATACAAACAACCCAAAAGATTGTAAAAAAATATACCCTATATATATATATATATATATATATATATATATATATATATATATATATATATATATATATACATATATTTAAGTAAATAAATAAAAACATGTCAAAATGACATAAAATTGGTTTATTTAATGTTGTTTTGACATCAATGTCAAAGTTTCCCACTAGGAAGGAGGAACTATATGACCAGGATGTTACAATAACAAAAAAAGTCATACCTCAGATCTCCCTGTAAGTAAATTTTGGGGTCCCCCAATATAAATTCATTGTGTTCTTTGCTATTTGCAGCATTTTTCTGTATTTTCATGTGTTGTGAGAATTTGCATGTGCACGTGTTGTCAAACTGATGGAGATGTTTTCCAAAAGTGTTTTAAATTTCGCTTGTGTTTTCTTCACTTGCAGTGTGTTTAGCTAGCGCTGCGTATTACATTGTGAATCGTATTGGTATCGCGGTAATAGTACAATATATGCATCGCAGACCTATGTGATAATGACATTTATTTTATGCATTGGACGTTTATCTAAATTTGACCAATCAGGTGGGGTCTTACTAACTTTATTCCCACCTCCTCAGTAGTTGCTGTTCTACTAATGACTGGACCGACTCAAAGGTGGGCCCAGGGCTGAAAAATAAACACTAATGGCAGGAGTCGAGATGAGAGAGGAAAATGCTAACAGCCAATCAGAGTCAGAATATTTGCAGAGGTTTTCACTCACTGAGTATTTTAAAGACTAAATGTTTGCACCTTTACATGTTTTTTTTATTATAAGAATTAATTAGATCTGAAAATGATCTTTGACCTGTTTATTTTAATAGCATTAAATAAATAAATGGTCCAGTATCATGCAGCCCTAGTTTGATCCCTGTCTGCCACTGTATATTAGTTATAATAACTGATTCCCATATTCATCAACTACATGGTACTTCAAGCAACCTCAAATCATATCATGGTTTATCCATTGCACATCACAACACTGGTATGACATCATGGTGTTGATAGTATTGCATTTACTAATATCTGAATATAATGTACTGTACTACATACTGACCGATGCCAGCAGTGCTATTGGTGGTCTGAAGGGTGTTGGAGGGCAGAGACAGGATGTTTGTCCCGCTGAGGGTCACCGGGGTGTCCAATGAGCCGTTTGTACTGTAGGACAGGGTGGTGGGGTTGGTGACGGGCAAAGTCAATGGCATTGAGAAACTCTGGTGACTCAAAGTGGCTGGCTAATGTAAAGACAAATAGAGAGAAAGATGAAGATTTAACAACATTTAAAATGTCAATATTCAGTATTTTAGTCTAAATTCTAAACAGTGTTTATAAGAGAATTGCTATGTGGTGGCTAAGGTATTGGGTGTTTTTTATTTAAAGAAACACTCCACTTTTTCCAAAACAGGCTCATTGTACAACTCCCCTAGAGTTAAACAGTTTCACTTTTTTTTTAAAAATCCATTCAGCCAATCTCTGTGTCTGGCAGAGAACTTTTAGCTTAGCTTAGCATAGATCATTGAATCGGATTAGACCATTAGCATCACCCACAAAAAAGTAGAGTTTCAATCAGTTTCCTATTGTAGGTCTTCACTCAAATGATGTTTGCTCTTTGTACAAACTACTTATTTAAAATGAACGGAAACAGCACAATTCTTGAGTTGTTTTTGGAACACCTTAATTGATTTATGTTTAATCCACTTAAATAAACAAAAATTTAAGGTGCTCTGCAACTCTCACATGGTCACCCACTGAAGTTAAGTCTTTTTTTTTGTAAAACTTCACTGTTCAAAAATGTGGAGTATTTACTTAAAGCAGGGGTGTCCAAACTCGGTCCTGGAGAGTTTAGCTCCAACTCTAATCAAACACACCTGAACCAGCCAATCAAGCTCTTACTAGATATACTAGAAACTTCCTGGCAGGTGTGTTGAAGCAAGTTGGAGCTAAACTATGCAGGACACCGGTCCTCCAGGGGCCGAGTTTGGACACAACCGACTAAAAGCAATGCTATACTGTATGTAGTTTCTAAAGGTATAGTTCACCTAAAAAAATGATGGAAAAAATGTTGGAAACTTTTAGCCACTGTGCAGAGTTACTGAAGTTTGTCCTGCGCGCTTGCGTTTTGTTTTTAGTTACTTCTTTGGTTCGGTGCGTTAATCTGATCGTTACTATTATTCAAAAGAAGGTAATGATTCGCACTCAATTGCTTCGTACTGTTTTTATTTTTACTTTTTCTTACATTTTACGGGTGATAACAGAAAGACGTTTTTGTGCCGAAACGTCTGTTTGTCTGTTATCACCCAAAAAATGTAAGAAAAAGTTAAAATAAAAACAGTACGAAGCAATTGAGTGCGAATCATTACCTTCTTTTGAAACTTTTAGCCACTGACATACATAGTTTTCCAACAGTCATTCATTCATTTCCTTGGGCTTAGTCCCTTATTTTATCAGGGGTCACCACAGTGGAATAACCCGATATTGGAAAATACCCATACACTCTCACATTCACACACACACATACACACACACACACACACACACACACCATGGCCATACACCTAAAGCGCATGCCTTTGGACTGTGGGGGAAACCAGAGCACCCAAAGGAAATCCAAGCAAACACGGGGAGAACATGCAAACTCCACACAAAAATGCCAGCTGCCCCAGCAAGGACTCAAACCAGCGAGCTTCTTGCTGTGAGGCGACAGTGCTAACCGTGTCGCTTCAGTTTTCCAATATTTTTCAGAAATTTTCTTTTGTGTTCAAAATAAGATAGAAACTCAAACACGTTTGTAAGAAAAGGAAGTTAAATAAAACATGGCAATTGTCCCTTTTAGGTGAACTATCCCTTTAAGGTTTAAGGTGATTAGTTAGTTAGTTGTGTGCATAACAGTGATGATGAGATGAAAACCAGTCACAAAATGTTGCTTACAATTTTGTGATTTCTCATCATATTGTCAAACTCTTCATTAATCTTCTGATATTTCTCCTCTGCGTGAGGGGTGAGGACATATGAGGCGTCTGGATCTGGACTGTCACAACCTCTGTGTTCCTTTTTATTTAGCACCTGAAGGGAACAAGAAAAAATAGACATTATGACACCATTGAATATCTAACATTCACTATGATTCTATTAGCTCTCCTCAATATTTTTCCCCAAATTCTATTTACCATAAATATTTATTCAACACATTTCTAAACATAATAGTTTTAATAACTCATTTCTAATCACTGATTAATTTGATCTTTTCCACAATGACAGTAAGTAATATTTGTCTAGATATTTTTAAAGATAGTAGTATCTAGCTTAAAGTGACATTTAAAGGCAATTTATCTAGGTTAATTAGGTTAACTATGCAAAAAATTATTGCTTATTAATATTGACCTTAAAATAATAATAATAAAAAAATAAAACTACTTTTATTCTAGCCAAAACAAAACAAATAAAAGTTTGCAATTCCAATTTTCAGAATAAAAAAAAAATATTATAGGAAATACTGTGAAAAATTCCTTGCTCTGTTAAACATCACTTGGGAAATATTTGAAAAAAAAAATCCCAGGAGGGCTAATAAATTTGACTTCAACTGTATATAAGAGAAATCTGCTGGCAATACACTTACACACACACACACACATACATACACACACACACACAAGCGTGCTTTGGCCCGGTTCGAGGCAACTGTACCTAGTGTGAGTACGGCCTATAAGGCTCGAACCGAATCTTTAATTCGTCATATTTAGAGATATTTACTAATATATTTGAAGATATCTGTAATTAATTTACTAACAGTCGAATTACAGTTGTAGATATCTTGAATTGGATTTTTGACTAGTCAAAATTCATTTGGAGATATCTCTAATTACAATTGTGACTAGTCAAAACTCATTTAGAGATATCTGCAAATATTTTTCAATGGAAGTCAATGGAGGAATATGACTAGTCAGACATAATATATTTGCAGATATTTCCAATCTGACTAGTCAAATTATAATTATGACAAGTCAAAATATAATTAGAGATATCTCTAAATATATTTATGGATAGTCAGAACAAGGTTTAAATGCTAAAACGGCTTGCCATACGCTCTCACCCAGTAGCACAGTGGAGATTTCTTTAGTTATATCCTTTCAGTCGTTTGATATGCAGTCAAATATTTCGCCAAACAGTCTTTAGGGATGCGGGGACACGCAGTCAGATATTTAACCGGACAGATCCGCCACTTTTGGCACTCATAAACAATCATAAAGCTCTCGTGCTGCAGGAATGAGGAGGTCTGCTGAAGGCGCGCAGCTGACGTGCAGTGAGGGGTTTGCGTCTTTAATAAACTACAGCAGTTTGCGTTCACTGAACAGTAAGAATGATTAATAAATCCATGTGAAACAGCCCCTTAAAAGTCACGTCTTGCTTTCAGTTTCGGGCTTTGAAGCGTTTTGCACTCACACACAAGCGTACCGCGCCAAAGCCCAAGTGATCCGCGCTCAGGCACACCTCTTCCAACCGGGCCAGGGCCGGCCAAGTGAACCGTGCTTGAGCCTAATTCAGCGCACTCACACTTCTCAAACGATCCGGGAAATGGGCCTGGGCACGGTACGCATGGCATAGTGTGAGTAGGCCCATAGGCCCCGTTTACACTAGTGCGTTTTAGTTTGAAAACGCATAAGTTTTGCTACGGTTACGCCATCCGTCCACACTACGCCGGAGTTCTCGAGCGCCGAAAACGGAGCTTTTTGAAAACGCTGGAGAGGCCGTTTTCATTCTAAAACGCTGCTGCTCCGTCTCAGTGTGGATGGGGAAAGACGGAGACATCTGAAAACGGAGGCGGGGCTGCAAACGTTCGCCTATCTGATTGGGGCTTTTCCTGAATATTAAGTAGCCTAACACACACAGTTCAGTCTCGCATCCTCTTCGCAAGGTTGATCAAGGCTGCAGTCTCCCACTTCTCAGTTTGATATGGAAAACATACCGAGGACACGCGTAAATCTTCAAAGGGAACAGTGTACTTTATAACTTCATTCACATCACCTTGGCTACGTTGTTTCACTTTCTCAACAATAAAATGTAAACATGATTTAAGGAACTGCCTATTTTCTTTTTAATATTAGCAACTTAACAGACAGCAGAAATGTTGAGGCGCCGTGCTGCATATATGAGCGTCATCTTCACTGTGTGGATATTTATAACAAAACGGAGCCGATAACAACTGCCTCCTTTCAATTTCAGTGAAAATACGAAACGCACCCTCTCTTTTGCTGAATATCAGTTTTAATAATCGACAATTATAAAAGTATAACATACAATAAGTTTATACATTGTAGGAAATAAAGGCAAGCGATCAGTCAATGTACCTGGATTAATCATTAACTTATCTTTGCACTTAACCAAAACATGTTACCCGTGAACAAGTAACTTAATAGATTCCAATGACCAAAGTCAGGGAATATGTCGTTAGATAAAGACAACAACATGAATGAAATATCACGTTTAGCAAATATAGTGAGATTAGATCCAGCGGGAGATGCGTGATGAGCAGTCCGACAAGCAGAGCTCTCATCTGGTTAGAAATGCTGGAGCGCTTGCCCGAGAGTGTGTGTGTGGTCACGTGATGTGCATTTTCAGCGTTTTGGTGTGGACGGAGAGCAGTTCAGAAACGCTGGGTAAAACGCGAGTGTGGACGCGGATCGTTTTCATTCTACAACGCCGTTTTAAAACTAAAACGCACTAGTGTAAACGGGGCCATAGTCTCATCCAAAAGACGGCACTCACTGAGCAGTATAGAGTCCTCATCAATATACTGGGGTGTTAGGACCCACACAGACCGCAGGTTGAGCACCCCCTGCTGGCCTCACTAACACCACTTCCGGCAGCAACCTAGATTCTCCATGTGGTCTCCTATACAGGTACTGACCGGACACAGCCCTGCATAGCTTCAGTGGGTGACCATGTGAGAGTTGCAGAGAGCCAGCTTACAGATTATTAAACTATTAAATTCAAAGGAGGGTTGAACGTTAATCATAGTTATGAACTAGTGTTTTCAAAATAATATCGTTTAATGTGCATGTGATGGATCATCATAAAGGCATTCATACATCAAAATATAAGTTCATGTTGAGCTGAGAAAATTTTAACAGAAGCACAGGTCCATTACTACTGTACAGTAGAATGTAAAATAATAATATTAGTAATAATAATTTATTATATAAGTTATTAAAGCAAGCTTTTTGATAAGTTATCTAGAAAAAAAATGATAAAAAATGAAGCCGATTATATTGGACCCTAATGAAATAGTCCACAGATAATAGTGTCTTAATTATAAAATTAATTAGCAATCTACTGAAATAATAACACTAGCATGTTGCAAGCCCAATAATAAAAAATACATACGGTAGTACTCATCTACATAACACCAAGCATTATAAATGTTTAAAAAAGCCGAATGTTGTTATTGTGATGTGTCCTCATCATATTCCATGTTTAATTCAGCAGCTGCTACTGTAAACCCTGTTATTTCACGTCACGCTGGAAATGGAAGGTCAAGCTGAGAGCATTGCATTATGGGATGCAGTATTACATTCTTATGCTAGCAAATGTCATCAAAGTATTTCTATCCATATAGAAAATTTACATATATATTACAGGACACTAGAATGGTAAAGCAACAGTGAAATACAGTACACAGACGAGCATTTCGCAGTTTAAGAGCCCTTATGAGTGTGGATGGAGATCAGAAGTTTACCTCATCCCTATGCAGTTGTAATACTTCAAGCTCTGTGTTTTAATATTATATAACTGGGCCTTATATTACTTTATATGAAACAGATAGGGGTTGATGAGCTCAAGTGAAGCTCTAACTGTCTATAAGTCTAAGTTTAATTAAATACTAGATGTTATTAAGGAAATCACAAAGCAAAGATGCAAACACAGAGGGGTGACCAAACTTTTGCACAAGACTGTATATTTACAGACAAAAAGTCCTACATAGAAGAGCTATAAAAAATACAAATAAAAGAAAGAATGGTGATAGTGGAAGACAAGAGAGAACTAGACCTGAGACATTTATGTCAAGGATATAGTTAGTATATAGTCCACTTGAGTATTAGTAGACTGCCTGCTTAATGTTAATACTGATCCTTCAACAGACATTTAACTGACTATAAGAAACTTTGCAAGTACATGTCAACTTACACAAACCCTAACCCCAACCTAACAGTCTACTTATAATCTAATGAGAAATAGTTAGCATGTAGGTGCAATGTAACTTAAATTCAACAAACGGCACCTCTTCCAATTCTGGTATGTGGAGAGATTTTTGCTGGAAGAATCCTACCAGATACTTTATAACCCCCAAATTAACATGCATGCAAACACAGGAGAAGGACAGGGGACAGTGCTGGAGGAAATGTGGAGAAGACTTGGCAAACCACATTCACATATTTTGGAGTTGCCCAGCCATTCAGTCATATTGGAAGGACGTAAAGCATATGTAATATTTTTGGTGATGATGTGGATCTTTCTTTTACAACAATTTATCTAAGAAATATTGCAGCCAACTTAACGGTAAAAGACAAGTACTTATTAAAAATACTCCTAGCAACCAGTAAGAAAACTGTGACTCGAAAGTGGCTACAACTGGAACCCCCTACAAAATCTGAATGGTTGGATATCATATCTAATGTTCAAAATATGGAGAGGATGACTTTTTCTTAAAAACTACAAATGGACAAATACCTGCAATATTGGGAGAAATGGATTGTACTTCTGCCTTTACAGAGTGTAATCTGGTTTATATATGTATTTGTTCATGTGACCTGTAAGGAAATATGTGACCTGTCAACCGTTCATTTAAGTTCTGGTGTTTTATTGTATTATTTACTTAATTTTATTTTCTTAAAATCTACTATTTGTACTTTTTTCCCTTGTTTTTTTCCCCTTAAAAAAAAGAGAAATAAAAATAAAGTATAAAAAAAAAATTCAACAAACGGACCATTAAAATAAAGCATGACCAACTATCTCTGTAAACTCAATCAATTAATAGTTTGCTGACTTTAATAAATATACTGACCACA